GAATTTAATAGTTGGAATTAAAAACGCAACACAATACAACCTTTGAACTTTTTTTTGAGTCTTTACAACGCGTGTTAGACTGTCGGGGAGTGTCGAAGAGTGTCGGACACGACACGTCAGAGTTTTTGAAGTGTCAGTGCTTCATAGCTAAGCAAGACCAAACGACAAGGAAAGTAAAATTAAAATGTGGATAAAAGAAAGTAGGCCCCACACAACACCTTTTTATATCTCTTTTTTTATAAATGTCGTTTCAACCCAAAATTTTAAAATATTGAATAAGGATAAATTATTTATTTTATATCTTTTTAATATTTTTTTCTCTCCTCTCTGTTTGTGTGTGTAAGAAAGGGGCATAATCTTAGTGCTTGTAGGAAAGTAAAGAAATTTCTGCATGCTAACAAAAGAAATATTATTTCTTTTGAAATTATAGGCTTGAACAACAATTATTTCTATTCAATTAAAATATGTCCAAGCCATTATAAGTAATCTAGTGGTGAAAATTTTAAATAAATTATAGTAGATTATATATTCAATTTCGACTAATATATCAAAAAAAAAAAAAGATGGTCCAAGTGTCAGCACCAGGGCCAACCTGCTACATAGGCCATAGTTTCGTAGAAATTCTGATCCAAACACAAAGGACATTTTCGAAGAAAATACTATACAAACCTTGATCATATGATCACTACTTCACTAGGATGGTTCGAATCTTAGAGGCAACCTCACATTTTGGAATGTAGTTAGCTATCATTGTCATTTTTAATTGAAATCAAGGATAGTGTTATATCTGGACAACATTTTAAATATACAAAAACTCACACCTCTTCCGCCATCGTTACATTTATCTTCGAATCTATGCAATGTCACATCAAAACTTTTTGCCGTCAAAAATCCACATACAATCAGGTGGTTATACACATCAGTTGAGTTTTTTTTTTTAATATTATATGTCAGTTAATCGATCACTTAACTTGTCCAATTCAATCTGAGTAGGATTATAGGGGTGACAAAGTTTTCCATATTAAATTAAAGTTCTCCATATAACATCTTCAATCCTCTTGAGAAAAGGATTCTCTCAAACAACTTTGGGATCAATTCATTAGAATCCTTAGTCAGAGTGTTATTACTGTGTCTTATTTTCTATTGTCTGAAATCAGCTTGAGAAGACAAAAAATTAGCACAATCCTTCATTACCGGTAAGGATGAGCCAAATGATATTTCAATCAACGAGAGGTTAAAGTCAGGACAAGACATCACTCAACTGAACAAAGGTTATGCTTTTACGCCAATGATTCTGCATATTCTTCAATGGATTCCGAAATTATAGGTTGCATGAAGTGAGATGTAATAGGCCTTACATATGATCCGGAAGGGTTGGACCATATTGCAATTACGTTCATTTTACGTCAATGATTTTGCATACTCTTCAACGGAATCCAAAATTTTCTATACATTCCTTGAAGAAAAAGAAGCTAGAGGTCAGTGGTCCTAGCTATGATAAGGAGGGATTGGAAATATGGGCATCAAACTTTTTTTTTATTTTAATGGGTCGAGAGTTACATGAATCTTGAAGATTAAACAACTTGATATTGTTTATTATAGCCCTTTACGCTTTCACATGAGGCTTGCAACGTTTCAGGCCCATAAAATCCGAATTTAATGTTACTTGGGTCCATACTGCCTCCAAGCATGGAAAAAGGTCTATTATCTCTCTCACAATTTCTTTTTTACTACACATTGTCTCTCTCACATTAGTTACTTTAGTTTATCGAAATGTTTGGCTACATGGCCCTTTCATCAAATATTATGTATATTGTCTCTCATGCTGATCCGTGATTGACCAAATTATTTATCTTTTAAAAAGTATTATCAATTTATTTTATTTTTAAAAAGAGTGTTATTCTAACAGCCTAAAAATTTTACAATATTTTACAACTTATTTTTTCACCGTCGATTTTCGTAAATTCAACGATTATGATTTATTGAGTCACATTTTTTTTTTATTAATTATCAATTTTTAATAAATCAGAATCATTGGATTGACAAAAATTAACAAAGAAAAAAATAAGTGGTAAAATGTTGTAAAACTTTTAGATTGTAAGAATAATGCTACTCTATTTTTAAAATTATATATCAATCTATTTATATTTTATTGAATTGACCTCACGCTAAAATTATATTTTACACATGGCGTAATTCCTAATAATTACTCGAGTAAATGGGGATTACTTCAATAATTATTTTACTTAAATTCCTCATTAATTAATTTGACCAAATAAAAATCCAATAATTATATTTTTCAGAAAAGAAAAATTATAATAATATTATTATTATTGATCATATCATAAATTCAATATTTTTGAATTTGTAGGGATTTTAAAATATTATTGTATAATCATTTTATTATTATTGGTTATTGATTTTTCCTTATCTTTTCTTATTTAAAAAAAAGTGAATTTAATTGTTTTATCCAAAAAAAATTCAATAGTCAAATTGTCATGATTGATAATAAATTTGATATTTTGGAATTTGCATAAATTTAAAAATACCACCATATAAATTAAAATTATATTCGAACTTTCTTGTAAATTTTAAAAGTGATAATATGATTATTAACAATAAATTTTCTGTTTTTATTTTATGTTATTTGCAAAAAAAAATTGAGAGAAATATTTTTTTGAACGAAAACAAAGAAACTTAATAATCAAATTATTATTATTAATTATATATTTTATGTTTTTGAATTTTCAAGAATTCAAAATTTTGCGACAGATAATTTTCAAGAATTAATTATGAATTTAAATACTATTTAATTTAATTAATTTAATAATAATTTATAATTTCATATTCATTTAATCAATTTAATTAGTTTAACTCAAAAATTAATTTCATTCCTTAGCGTGTTATTTATTGGAGTAAATAAATTTTTTTTACTCCTTTGACTAGACAATAATATATTTCTAAAAAGTTTGCAAAGTGAGACAAATTAATAAATTATACGGTTGATCAAAAACCTGATTATGTTAAGGGGAGATCAAAATTCACTAAAGGAGAAATTTGAGAATTATCAATATTATCCCAAAACACATAGACACTTGAAATACTTAACCAATTTTTCGGGATGATCGTGTTCACCTTTTTTTTTCACTTTAGTGTTTTTCATCTCTTATCAATTTACAATAATCCATGGGAGCAAGAAATCGATACTAGATGAATCCCAATGTAATTTTTCACTATTAATCCAGTAATTATGACATATCAATCCAAATAAAAAATTATCACCAATCATATCTCCTTGAGTTACTTCGTTATTGATTATTATGATTTTTTTTAGGGATAAGATATTTTACCTATCATTTTTTTTTGCCTACCTTTATTTTAAATAATTATCATTCATAAATCAATACAATATCAATCAAATCTTTTACTATTAATCAAACAAATTTGTCATAATAACTACTCAATAAGGAAAACAATCTCTCAATAATAATAAAAAGTTTCCATTATTGACCTCCTTGATTTTCTCCATTATTGATAATAATAATTTATTCAATTATTATGATACTTTACTTATTTTATATAAATGTTTAAAAAAAATTTAAATATTTTTAACTCAAAAAATATAATCATATTTGATTAAATTATTTTTCATTGCACTCAATAAAAATATCGAGGAATAAATAAATTTTTTATTTTTTAAAATAAAATAAAGGTTATATAATTATAATTATTTGAAAACCAAAGATAACATGAACAAAATAATTTAGGACTTATTTGATTATGTTCTGATTTTTTTTTGTTCTTAAAATTATTTTGTGATATAGTTTATGTAAATAGTTGTTTTTTGTGTTTAGAAATTATAAGTCAAATATAAAAAAAAACAACTCAAACATGTTTTTTAAATTTGATTTTAAAAATAAAAATATAGTTATAATTTTTAATATTTTTTTACAAAGCAAAACTTTTCAAATAACTTTTTTATTTTTATTAAAAATAAAATTATTATTATTATTATTATTTTTAATAAACAGGTCTTAGAGTAAGAAACTACTCTCCATTTTAACGATTTCAATTTTCAAGACATGAACGAATCAGGCGGGAGACGCGGATGATCACTAAGCAGAAACGACATGGCGTATAACTTAAAACGAAAAGCAAAATTAAAATGTGGATAAAGGAAAGTAGGCCCCACATGTAATTCAGTGCACACGTGGATCCTAAAAAACTCAACACCTTTTCCGTGGGACCCTCAGACAGTGTCGACAACTTCCATATATTACATTTCCTAACATCTTTACATTTTTTAAAATAAAATATTTTACAATGATTCAAAATAATTCAATGATCTTTTCTGTCTCGACCCTGATCGACTCCGACATTAGCATTTGTTGCGTCTTATGTAAATGAGATTGAGAAGAAACATGAATCGTATCTCTGTTAGTATTTCAATTTGTAATTTCAAATTTGGTATTTTTTTTTGGGCTTTTATCTTTGTTTCTATTTATAATTCAATCATCAATGTCACAATAAAAAGGCACGGTAAGACTAAGAACTAATTCCACTAAACCATCCTATCTGTCCCTGAGGTACAATCCCCCTCTCTCTGTCTCTATCTTTCTCTGTACAATTCTGGGTTCCATCAGGTACGTTTTTTCGCTTTTGATTCACTCGTGGTTGTTTTTTTTTTCTTTTTTTGGATTTGTATTGCTTTCTTCTCAACACTGCTGTCTTTAGTACTGTTTGATGTACAATGTCGACGGAAGTGAATCTGATGAAAGTGTGGTCATATGATGTTTCGTTGCCTAATAAATCATAGCCAGGAAAAATAAAATTGAAGAATAAAATTATTGTCTTTAGCAGAAGAATTTATAATAACTTATTGGGGAAGCCCTTTGTAATGGCTCTATGAACTGAACAGCAATAAATGTCCAATCACATATCTCTATTCATATTTTTGGTATCTTTTCTTGAGTATTTGCTTGTTATTGAATTCTCTACGTGTTCTTTCTGACCATTATTTTTCCAGGTCTTTGCATATGGATTCCTTAGAGCAAAGAAAGGGTGGCACTGAGAAACCAACCACTTCAGCAATTGACATGTATAAACAACCATTTATCATAGGTGTGTGTTTTTGCATGGCAAGCTGCCAATGTGATCTTAAAAATCACCAACTTTCTGTATGTGTCATGGAACTCAACGGTGGTGAATATAGCCGGCAAAACGGGCTCGGCTCGGTGGGCCAACCCGCTCCGTCGGCTAAACGGGGCGGGGCGGACTGAGTTTTTCAACCCATCTCAAAAGCGGGACGAGGTTTGGGCTGGCAGGTCAACCCGCCCAACCTGCCAAACGGGGCGGGGCGGGCTCAGTTTTTCAACTCACTTTCAAAAATGGGGCGGGGCTGGCTGACTCTTTTTTTGACGGGTTGGGTTGGGGCGGGACGGGGCGGGGCGGGCCGCCCACTTTGCCACCTCTAGTGGTGAATTTACTTGTGTTTCTTGCGCCTCATCTCATATGTAATAGAGTAATAGGTACTAAATATACTATCTTAATGGTTTGATTGCAATAAAATGAGGTTTAAGAGCCCATAAGTGGATTTTGTTGTTCTGTTATGGCAGATAAAATGTCATCACCCTTGTTTTTTTTTTTTTTCCCCTCACCACTTTGTGATGTGGTTCAAATGAGCCATTAGCTTTTGTGTTTAAGGGTACATGAACAAAACTACAGGTGTTGTGTAGCCATTAGCTTTTACGTTCTGAAAATAATCATACATAAGATCGTTTAGATGCCTTATTTTCACTTCTTAACAATTTTTTTTATTTGGTATCTATGATTCTAATTTTGTTTTTATTTATTTTTTCGTTTGTGTATATTACAGGTGTTGCTGGGGGAGCAGCATCTGGCAAGACAGCAGTTTGTGATATGATTATTCAGCAGCTTCATGATCAAAGAGTTGTGCTTATTAATCAGGTAGTGGAATCTTTCTATATATACTTATTGGTTGTCAAATTGAGAATTTATGAGGATTTATTGTCTGTGACTCAATTAGATATTGAGGGCCAACAACTAACAGTTAGTTCTTATAAAAAATAAAATAATTAACTGTTAGTGGTCCAAGCCTTTTAAGCATCCAGTTTCTCCTTTATCTTGAATCCTCTTGGAGTTTCGTTTGGTTCCCTTTGATATCCCAAGAATCTATTGGTATAATTTTATTAGCTTTTGTATTTTCGTTGTAACATTAACCCTCTGTTAGCTACCATTTATAACACCAAAATTCCCCCAACTGTGTTTCTTTATCCAATCAAATTTAGTATTCTGTTTTTCTCACCCCCTCATTTTTCATGAACATGTATGTGTTTCTCTCAATATTCCCTTCAAATTACCATAGACTTTCTTACCAAAAGAAGTCCTGCATTTGAATATATGATCCACCATTGTTTTGGTGATACAAGCAAAAACTTCTTTGCATTTATTTTCTATCATTTATGTTTTTAGTTAACTTCCTTTTTCTTTTAAATCTTTTATACATGTTAGTTTTTCCTATTTTCATCTTTTACCATTTTGACGAGGCATGTTCCAAAATTTGGGTTGATGTTTCTTATTGGACTCATGATGAGACATTGAGCATAATAAATTAATTATTTAATCTGCAACAGGATTCTTTTTACCATAATTTGACTGACGAGGAACTTTTAAGAGTACAAGATTACAACTTTGACCACCCTGGTAATTTCAATTATACCTCATTATTAGTGGCTTTCTCTTCATATCAATATATTATGTAGGATGAATGCACTCGCTTTATTTGGATGTATATTTTATTTCCTCTATTTTAATTCTATTTGTTGTCCTAAATCTGGAATTCTGTTTTTCCTATAATGCTTTTTGAGGAGGAGGTCAAAAAGCCTAAAATAATATTCACTATATATTTTTATTTTGTTTCTCAGGTCTGATAGTTCTCCTTTGATATTTCTAATATTGTGCTGAACTTCTTCATTTTACATTCAATTTGAACCAACTGCGTCTTTCTTACTCTCAGAATGATTTCGGAACATCAAGGGTGGTGCCGGGGAAAATTAACCTGGGAAAGATTTATTGAAGCAGAAATTACCTCAAAATTAGCTGATTATAGACTTGAAATTAAGTATCAACTTAATAAAATTTTAAACCTAGAATATTCTTGCATTTAGCCTAGAGATCAATATGATTGGAGAAACTGCTGCAGATTTTACATGTCAGAATGTTGCTCAAATTATGTAATATGTGTTATGAGCATTCCGAAAGGTTGAACTAAAGTTCCTTTTTCATAATATGAGATGTAATTATCTAGCTAAGAGTATTAGTAGCTCAGGCCACATGGTAGTAAATATAACAAACATGAAATTTGATAAGGTGGCAGCTTTAGTATGGAAAATTTGACATTTAAATTTTTTTAATGCATATGTAACGGTGGTTCTTGTACTGCTGTAGCTCCTTTTGCATTATTTCTAATTCATGTTGCTGATTCATCAGAAGCTTTTGATACTGAGCAATTGCTGCATGTCATGGACAAGTTGAAGTGTGGCCAAGCAGTAGATATTCCGAAGTATGACTTTAAGGATTACAAGAGTGATGTGTTTCCAGCAAGAAGGGTATTGGAAACTTTCATTTTGTATTAACAGTTTTACTCCTCTTTCTTAAAATGCTCAGCAGGTCAAGATTGAATTGATCTTCTATTTTTGAGATTTTATTATCATGCTAAAGAATGGTTTTTTATTGCATAGTGTGATAATGATTTCATATTTGAATTTGAATGATTTGGCATACTAATGATCGCCAATTCATGCATCAAATTTTTGTTCTGTCTCTTACCTTTTCTCTCTAGCAGAGGGCAAATGTATCTGGAATAAAATTTCAGCCATGCTTCCATTTTTATGTTTGTTTAATGTGTTTTGTAGGTAAACCCTGCAGATGTTATTATTTTGGAAGGGATCCTTATTTTCCATGATCCACGTGTTCGGGCATTGATGAGTATGAAGATATTTGTTGACACAGGTCTCTTATTATTTTCTGTTCCAATTTAACTTGTATAACTCATAATATTGTATGTTTTCTGTGGCATTTGTTAATTTATATGGGATCTATTGTCACATTTGTTTTCCTTTTAATCTCATGAACTTTGTTTTTATTCCTTATAACCCACATTGTGATATCTGAAAATGCTTGTTCTAATTCAGGTGTTAATGACACTAGTTTTTCCCCCCACTCCTTTTTCTGCTGGTTCTGTGTTATAGTTATTTTACAAGCCTGTGTGTTTATGAGTCTTTTGTTGCACTCTTAAGTTAGGCTGTCACTTTATATTTTAAAATGTTCAGTGCAGATGATGATCTTCGTCTGGTAAGAAGGATTAAGCGTGATACTGCTGAGAATGGTCGCGAAATTGTAGCTGTGCTTGATCAGGTAGCTACTTTTAGCCACACCTGTTGCACTACCATTAGCACATTTTGATTGTTTTTTGGCTTTTTTCCTCTCACGTTTCTCACATTCACTTCATTGCAAGACTTGGAAATGTTATTTTAGTTCATGCTGATGATCAGCTATTATACAAGCTCCTTGATTAGAAAACCTGTCATTATTCAGTTTTTCAAGGATTCATTTTGTGCTTATGATAATGCTGGTCAAGCTAATTTTTTTAAAACCATATTTTGATGTTTAATTCCTTCAATTTAATTGATTTTAGTAACTGACTTTTTTATTTAATATTTGATGCAGTATTCTAAATTTGTGAAGCCGGCTTTTGATGACTTTATCTTTCCCACAAAGAAGTATGCTGATCTCATTATACCCCGTGGAGGAGATAATCATGTGGCTATTGATTTGATTGTACAGCATATCCGCACAAAACTTGGTCAGCATGACCTGTGTAAAATATATCGTAATTTTTATCTCATTCAGTCTACTTTTCAGGTACCTCTTTCTTGCTATTTATTGTCTTTTTCAATTATTCCATCTTCCCCCGTGCAGCTAGAGCTCCAAATTTTTATTCTTTTAATTAAAAGTTGACTCATTATGGTAATTGCTGCTATGCAGATACGCAGTATGCATTCCCTGATACGTGATCATCTGACAACAAAGCATGACTTCATATTTTATTCCGATCGTTTGATTCGTTTGGTATGTAAATAGGGTTCATTTATTGCTTAATGGTAACATGACCTTCTTCTTCTTTTAAGTAATAGTGATCACAATTCCCTTACTTGACCAGGTTGTAGAATATGGACTAGGGCATCTTCCATTTACCGAAAAGCAAATAATCACTCCTAATGGTAAGCTGTTTATTTTTCAATAATGATTTCCTTAGCTTGTATTATACATTCTCAGTCTGTTTTAGAAATGTCTAATCTATTTCTTGGACATCTTGGAAGGACTAGAAATAATTTCTGCAGTCTTGACTTCCATTTCAAAGAATCTTTTCTTGATTGAATGAGAACCAAAGATGTATCATATTATTGTACTTGAGAGACATGTTCTGTTGTCCATGATATTAATTGCTGCAATTGCCATACTAAATAAATAAATTAAAAAAGAAATCTTCTCTGTCTGTGTCTGTGTAGCTGAAATTCTAGTTCCGATATTTACGAAGCAGAATTAGTGTGTTTCAGGTTTGAACCTTTTTTATGGTAACGGCTGATTCTTGTCCTTCAATGCAGGGTCCGTATACAGTGGTGTGGAGTTTTCTAAGAAGTTATGCGGTGTCTCCATCATCAGGAGGTATATGCATGTATAAAGCAGAAGTCACTGTAGTATTTCCTTAAATATTGTCTGTCATCATTGCTTCAAAGTATTGATTTAAAGATTTTTTTCTTAATCATCCTTAATCAATTCAATAAATAAAGAAAAAGATCTATTGTTTTCGGTATAGAATTACCTAATTGTTCAGGTTGCGTATTGTGGTTATTGGTTTACTTCAAACTATTATCCAAATCAATCCCCCTATTATGTTTTAAGAAACTTGTTCTTTTTCCTCAGTTTGATGTGAACCTATGATCTCTACAGTTTTTTAAAAATAAAATAAAATAAAGAAAAATAAAATTTATTGCTTAGGAAAGAACTTTCTGTCCATAAATTTGATATATGATCTAATTGCAGTGGGGAGAGCATGGAGAATGCTTTAAGAGCATGCTGCAGAGGCATCAAGATTGGGAAAATTCTTATTCATAGAGAAGGTGATAATGGTCAACAGGTTTGTCATCTGCATGTGTGCTAATGTGCTTGTGTCCGTATCCTATGTTTTTTTTCATTTCAGGACCACTAACTTATCCTTTGATTTTTGAGCAGCTAATATATGAGAAGTTGCCTAAAGATATCTCAGAGAGGCATGTGCTACTTTTGGATCCTATCTTAGGCACAGGTTTGTCATTCTCATAATGTTTGTTTTATGGGTTATATATATATATATATATATATATATATATCATGTTGTAAGAAACTCGTAGTGTGATGTTACTCTCAGAAAAAGTGATGGCCCCACCTTATTTTTTTTATTTTTTTTGAGTGGGACCCACATCAAATATATTAGAGTAACATGACAGTACAAGTTTCCTATAACATGACATATATAAAACCCTTGTTTTATGTGGTAATTATGATTTAAATATTTTACATTGTGTAAAAAAGTACATGAATCGTCAGTACCCCACTTTAAATAACACAGCAGTCAGCATGATAAGGGTGGATTAAAATTTTGATATTTAATTTGTTAGTTTTCATTTGGATTAACCTTAGAATATCTTCATCATTAGGTAATTCGGCTGTTCAAGCAATTTCCTTACTTTTAAGCAAGGGTGTACCAGAGTCCAACATTATATTTCTCAATCTCGTATCTGTAAGTCACTGATGCCTTTAGTTCCAATGTGTCTCTTGCCATTTTCATTATTTTCTCTAACGCTTCTTTCTTTTCTTGTAACTGACGATTTTCATGTATGCTCTCATCTTGTCAGGCACCTCTAGGTGTACATGTGGTGTGCAAAAGATTTCCAAGAGTAAAAATCGTGACATCTGAAATTGATATTGGTTTGAATGAAGATTTCCGTGTCATACCTGGCATGGGAGAGTTTGGGGATCGGTACTTTGGAACAGATGATGATGACAAGCTGGTGGTGACCCTTTCAAAGTATAAAATGGTTGAAATTTGAGGAATTAATACGATTTTGGACTCTTGAGTTACGGTTTTAAATTATTTTATATCATACAGACACATACTGGGAATTTTGTTTATCTTTTATAATTTATTATTATACTATAGAATTGTTCTTTCAATCTATTCTTTTCCGGATACATGTTTACAAATCTAGAGATTTTTACTTTATACATAGAAATGAATATACATTTAGTTATTTAATTTTTGGGAAAACTTTATTTTCACCTCTTATGATTTAATGATGTATTACTTAATCACGTGTGGTTTCAAACTGATCATTCGTACCCATTGTTAGGAGTGTTCATCAACATACCCAAATCGATTCAAACTGCGGTGATCGAATCGAAAATTGAATAAACCGAAAACCAAAAAAAAAATCACAAACTTTAATTAGATTGGATCGTTTTCGGATTGGTTGATGAAAGCCGATCTAATCCAAACTGATCCAATATATTAATCCTCTTTATCTATTGGGCATTTTTCCAATCATAGCCCAAAAATTTCTAAACTCCAGATAAAATTTCTAAACCCAAGATTCATTAACCCATTAACTAAACCAAAAAATAAACTAGTCATATCTCATCAACAAAATTTTATCTGTGCAGAGCTTCATATCTCATTGTCCAAAAAAAAAACAATATTTTCGTTTATTGATGCTTTTGTATTTTAAAAAAAATAAATTTACAAAAATGTACGAAAGATGTTATTTGCACAATAATCATGAAACAAATTTTAGAATTTTCAAAAAACCGAAAACCGATCCAATCCAAACCCAAAAAAATTGGATTGGATCTGATTGGATTTGAAAAAAGATCCAAATCGAATGGATGATTACATGATCAAACTGAAAGGACTGGATTGGATTGATTTAACTTCATGTGATCTCAAACATTCACTTACACTCATCTTGATAATAAAAATATATTACTTAGACCTTATGCTCTTATAAATATAAAGTTTTTTATTTTTTCGAACTTTTATTTTATAGAATTGTGATATTATCAAATAAAATTGTAATAAAATTAAATATTAATGACAAAATCAAAAAAAATTAAAGTTATTTATTTTGAAATTATTTTAAGCATCATCTTAAATTTTTTTAGTCATGTAAAAAAATATATTCAAAATTAAGAATATTGTTCAAGATAAATTAATGACGTATTAGTTAAATAAATTGTTTATTTTAAATTTTTAAAAATATTATAACAATATTAAATAAAATTAATAAATAAAATAAAATAATATTTGGCTTAAATTTATTTTTACGATAAAAATATAAGACCACAAGATTTAAATACGTATCATCTAATGATTTAATTCAAATAAAAATAAATAAATTATTTTTTATCATGAATCAAACACTTATATAATACATTTAAAAAATATTATATATATATATATATGTGTGCGCGCGCGTGCATTATACATTTAATTGACAAATTTAAAAACATAGACAGTTAAGTGATAAACCATATATTAAGTGAAAATGAAGTTATCCTTTTTTTTTCGATTTATACAATATCTTTGGACTCGTAGGTTGCTGTGTGTACAAGTTTCTCTTCTATAACACTCACAATTGAGGAAGATATATTGCATGTAGATGTAGCTTGAGGGTGGAACTTGATTCTGAAAAAATACAAAATGAAAACAATAAATATTGTGGCTGAGGCTGAGTTCTGCAAACAATCCATATAAATTATAATAGCCTTAGGTTGGTATCTTAGTTTTGTATGTAAGGTTTGATACCAAAGAGAACCAAGTTCAAGAGGATGATGGGGCCTGTGCTTTCCACAAATTTTCATTTTTTTCATTTTTTTTAATCTATTATGAGGTGACTGAAATATTTATTATTAAAAAAGGATGAGCTTCCACTACTTGGAAAGAAAAAGGATCACTCGTTGCTCTATCCAAGAGAGATAACTTTCGTTAGGCTAATCACAAAACACGTGTTGCTTTTGCATGGGTTGGGTGGAACCTCTGGGTATATTCCTTTGAGGTTTATCTATATAGCTTTGGTCTTTGCTAAACTCAGTTTTCATGCTGTCGTGTGTTATCTGCTTCCCGCCATCCAATATCATTTTCAAAGCTTGAACCATGTCTGCCTTTGTTGGAAAGTATGCAGGTAATCTCATTCTCCTTTCTCTTGTTCTCACAAGGTTACTCACTCTTATATATATCTCCACATATCTCACCCACAATACACACACTTATACAAGAACAAGTAGTAAAATAAGCTCCTTCACCTCATTAGTTATTCATAGATACCAAATCATAAAGTTTCACGTCTAAGAATAAGCTCCTTCAACATGAGTCTTCCAAGACTTTGGTTTCCAAATGGGATGTTAATTTTTTTACAGATGAGCTTATAAAGAATGCCAAGTACATAGCAACACCTGGCAAGGGCATCTTGGCAGCAGATGAGAGCACTGGCACCATTGGTAAACGTCTAGCCAGCATTAATGTTGAGAACATTGAGGCTAACCGCCAAGCCCTTCGTGAGCTTCTCTTTACCTCTCCAAATGCCCTTCAATACCTCTCTGGTGTCATTCTCTTTGAGGAAACTCTTTACCAAAAAACCTCTGATGGGAAGCCTTTTGTTGAGGTCCTCCAAGAGAACAATGTCATCCCAGGCATCAAAGTTGACAAGGGTGTTGTTGAATTGGCTGGCACAAATGGAGAAACCACCACTCAAGGCTTTGACTCTCTTGGAACTCGATGCCAGCAATACTACAAAGCTGGTGCACGCTTTGCTAAGTGGCGTGCAGTCCTCAAGATTGGCCCCAATGAACCCTCTGAGTTGTCCATCCAACAAAATGCTCAGGGCTTGGCACGCTATGCCATCATTTGCCAGGAGAATGGTCTTGTCCCCATTGTTGAGCCTGAGATTTTAACTGATGGGGCTCATGACATCATCAAATGTGCTGCTGTTACTGAAACTGTGCTTGCAGCTGTTTACAAGGCACTCAATGATCATCATGTTCTTCTAGAAGGAACTCTTCTCAAGCCCAACATGGTTACCCCTGGCTCTGATAGCTCAAAGGTAACATCAAAACTTTCAAAACTATTGCAGCCAATAATGGACCTGAAGCATAGTTATCACTTAGCAACACTCCAGTGCTTCCATATTACACACACATATCTAATAGAATTAATAAGAGGGTATGAAGTATCTTGCCATGTTTTTAACTTACAAAATACACTTTATTTCTGTGTGCAGGTACCACCTGAGGTGATTGCTGAGTACACAGTTCAAGCACTTCGCAGAACTGTTCCAGCTGCGGTACCAGGGATTGTGTTTTTGTCTGGTGGACAAAGTGAAGAACAAGCAACACTCAATCTCAATGCAATGAACAAGCTGGAGATATTGAAGCCATGGACTCTCTCATTCTCATTTGGGCGAGCACTGCAGCAAAGCACACTCAAGATATGGGGTGGGAAGAAAGAGAATGTTGCAAAAGCTCAAGAGACATTTCTGGCAAGATGCAAGGCCAATTCCGAGGCTACTCTGGGGAAGTATTTTGGTGGAAGCGGGAGTGGATTGGCTTCTGAAAGTTTGTTTGTCAAGGGCTACAAGTATTAGGCTTCATAATGGAGTTGGGGGATCGATTTGGGGTGGGTGCTTTTTAGCATATATATGATGCAGCTTAAGCTTTTGCTTCTGATTAACATGCTTATTTTTTGGTACTTGTTTTATAAATATCAGTTTATATTTTGAGTAAATATCTTTTTTGGTCCTCAGCAAATTTCACGATACACGCTTTAGTCCCTAGCAAATAATAAGGCTCATTGTGGTCCCTAAGAAATTCAAAATGGACTCGCTCAGTTGAAATCGTTATTCCTCACAAATTCAAAAAAGATCCATATTAGTCTCTAAAAGGATTAAAATGTGTTCATTTTGAATTTCTTAAGAACCACGATGAGCCTTTTTATTTGCTTGGTACTAAAAACTGTTGAGTTCGAAAACGAGTATTTACTCTTATATTTTTGGAGCTAATTGTAATGTCAAATGATAACGGAGTACCACTCAGAAGAATAACTTTATTAGATGGTGTCTGGTATATAATCAGAAAAAGAAATATGCACTATAAAATGTGAAATTACTGAACACAGGACAAAAGAAAATAGACAATCATGTTTGTTCATTTAATAGAAGCTCTCAAACTTTTTCCCGTTGCACATTCTTTTAGCAGCAGCAAGAACAAATGGAATTTAAAAAAAAAAAAAAAACACAAGAAAGCAAATAAACAAAAGAAGGAAAGAAAGAAAATGAAAGAATGATGCTCAAACGGAAATTTATCACTGTACCGCCGAGTTACTATGTCCACCTGTTATAAATTAATGATTGCTTAGCTTCAAAGAATTCGTATAATTAATTCCTTAGCAAATTAAATTTTGATAACTCAAAAAAAAGTAATGTTTTGGTGGACAAGGATATTCTGCTAATATGCTTTATCGGCCTCAACGATCTATATGTGATTAAACTAATGTCCGCTTTGGAGATTCTGGATTGAGACATGATTTGCACCACAATAATTATGTATGTATACTTTTGAAATCCTAGTTGATACCAAGTCAATGATCAATCTGTTGAGAGCCCTTTTCATATTTTGGCTTTAACAATTTTACACAGTCAAAAGGTATATTCCACTTAGTGCAGCTGATACAGCACAATTTAGAAAATAAAAGAAAACAGTATCAAAATGGCTATAATTCAATGCTTGCTTTAGCGAGCCTGTTGGTAGTTACCAGCCTATTCCGGAAAAGAAATTACTAAATTGATACTAGCAGTTGAAAATAAAATCCATCCACAACATGTTTCTCATATTGAAATTGAAGGGCTTCAACACCCTCCTCCTATGTTTCCAATCCATCTCCAAATTTAAAAAATAAAATAAAATAAAAAAATCAAATGGTATCTTCTAACCATCTTCATTTCTTTCTCTTTTTCATTTCTCATATGAATCATATGACTATTTTGCATACTGGTCTTTACTATTGGCTATAAATAGGAACAGAATACAAACTAGAAAGCAATAAAAAAATCACAAAGAACTCTACTCTGCCTCTTCATCGCTTTGTTATGCATTGTTTGGCTACTAGAACACCTGTTGGAGGACCAGTCATCTCTATCTGGCATATGCTATGCAACCAGTAAGATAAATGGATAAGACCCATATTAAACCTCACCTTAAATGTTCCCCTTGCATTGTAGTTGACCCTGTTGCTCTGCACCTGCCTTTGAAGTTTCACACCAACATCTTGAGGCAAAAACACCAAGCTTGATATGAAGTTCACTGGTTGCAACCTGGTTTCTCTTGGCTTCTGAGTAAAAGGCTTGATCGACTGTGATGATATGCGCCTGTCTGAGAAGAAAAGCTCAATATACAAGGACTCAAACCTCACGTCAATTTTCCTATTGGGGTTAGAAAAATTTGTAAGGAGTGTGAATTCACCATTGAGGTACTCTGGTGAGTCAAAGTAAACAACATTGAGGCTTGCATTGGGAATGTCAAATATGGGGTTTCGTGGTTTGATGGAAAGGTATAAGATTAATGTTACAATTCCAAAGAAGATAAGTCCAAGGCTGAATATTAAACACAGCACTGCAGCACACCATATAATTGGTTTGGTCCTTTGAAGTCGAGGTTGCCCAAGTGTTGGTGGTTTGCTTGACTTGTTGGTAAGAGAAATTGGTGCTCCTAATTCCAGAGAATATTGATTCCTGTGTTGTTTTGATATGCCAAGTTGTTCAAGAGAGGTTGGACTAGTTTGGTCTGAGTGTGGGAGTGTGATGGCTAGCATGTTTGAATAGGTACACTACTGAAAAAGTCTCGCTCTAGTGAAGCAAATTGAAGAGGAAGAGATGAGTTGAAATGTTTATTTATTGTAAATGGGGTGATGGATCAATGTAAGTGAAGAAGAAAAGAAGCTTTTCTTTTGATTGAGGATTAGTGGGAGTGGGGACAATGTGTTTTCTCGGTATTGAAAAAAAGGTGGTATAGGTGAGCTAAAGTTAGGCCACATCAATGTCTAGATTTTGAATGTACATGCTTTTGGTCAGCGGCAAAGTTTGAGAAAGTTCTAAAGAGTGATTTCAAGAGAGCCATCACTTTGTTCATTACTTCTTCTTTAAGGCTGCGAGTTTTACATGGTTTAGACTATGTCAAAGGGTGCATGTATGTGAAAATAGTAAATTCGATTAAGGACTTGGATTATGCCTGTGTATTAGTTATACCATAGTGTTGTCCCATGATATCAAACTATGTATGTTGCATAGATAGGATGCTTAAGCACTAAGAAAGAAAAAAGGCCGTGTTTCATTAAAAGCAATCAAGCAATCAATCATGTTGGATAGTGAGGCCCAGTTTAGGTGGGCTTTCTGCTGAGTCTCAAATACCAAAATTCAACATGGAATGAATTATGCTAATTGGTGCTCAAACACCTTCTCAAATATGATACTTTGTCAATGTTACGGTTTTTTATATTATTTTAGGATAAAGTGTGTGTCATTTTAAAAGATGTAAAGTTGTGTCATTTTAAGAGAGAGAAAGAGATAGATAAAGGAAGAGAGAGAGAGAGTTGACAAAAAAATAAAGGTGTGGGTCTCACCTCTTTGTGAGAGTGAAAGGATATAAGTTGTGTCATTTAAAAGGATAAACATTTTTCCCATTATTTTATGTATATATGTCATGATGCGTAAGCAAGTGCATGTATCTTTATGCTGTTCAATTATTATTCACCTGACAAATGTCTTAATTTTCTGTCATTTTATGTATATAGGTCATGTTGGCTGAGTAGATACATATATCTTTGAATTACAAATCCTATTCGTGAATGCAAGTGATCATGTAATGTACCCCTTGTTTTCTTCTGGCCATTGGTTTCTACTCACTGATTTATAACAATTAACAAGCATATTATGCATATACATTTGTCCTTTCCCTTTGCTGAATAAAAAAAAGTTGGTCACTATGTGTATGTCATATATCTTTGTGCTTCGTTGTTGAAGTTCAGCTTCGGTGTCATATACATTAATGTAGAGATTTATGTTGGTCCAAAAATGATGACAACCAACCCATATTATTGGCTGATTGCCAAATATAACTTTGAATTTAAAAATAAAAGAGGAAGACAATTTATATAAGGGATAGGTTATTCTGCTACTCATATTTTGCCTACCTTTGTCTACCTCTCTCAACACCGTTAGATTACAATCTCATCCAATGATAGAGATTTACGGTATAAAATCAACCCTTTTATCCCTTCCTCTCTCCCACCTCACCCTTTCTCTCCCCTCCCTTTTTCTCTTCCTCGCTGCAACAACCATCCTTCTTTCTTTCTTTTTTGAAAATTGCAATCATCCTTCTTGATACACTTGTAATTGACGGATTCAAAATCAAAAGGCAAAACGATAAATTAGATTGGGGCTATGAATGGCTAAGAATGGTTTGGAACCTCAAATTTGGATTTGAACGATCTTTTTTGTGTGGATAAATTGGACAATCCTTTCTTGTGATTCATAAATGAAATATATCAATATATATTTATTCATAATTGTTAAGTTCTATTAATTCATATCCTCACAAAAAGCAATGATATGGGATGAAACTATGAATCTGATCCTTAATTTGTATATAACATAAAATTTTATAAAAATTCAATTAGCAACATATTGTCAATTACAAGTAAAGGGTGATTGAATTAGTGAAGTTTGACGCCCTTTAGAATCGCTTTGGTGTACAGAAACTGCAAAATCGTTTCAGTATTCCGATGCCGCAGCGAGGAAGAGAAAAGGAGAGGAGAGAGAAAGGGTGAGGGGCAGTGGGAGAGAGGAAGGGGTAAAAGGGTTGATTTTATACCGTAAGTCTCTATCATTGGATGAAATTGTAATCTAACGGTGTTGAGAGAGTTAAGCAAAATAACCTACTAAAAGGGGAGGAGAGAGAAAGAGTGAGGGGCAGTGGGAGAGAGGAAGAGGTAAAAGGGTTGATTTTATACCATAAGTCTCTATCATTAGATGAGATTGTAATCTAACGGTGTTGAGAGAGGTAGGACGGTGTTGAGAGAGGTAGGCAAAATAAGAGTAGGCAGAATAACCTATCCCTATTTTTAAATTGTATTATCTAATATCTATCCTTCTGTTGAAATTGTATTCTGTTTAAATTGGATTAGTTTATTAATAAACTCTTGGTCAGTCATTATTATTGAGCCAAGTTAGTATCGCCCGTAAATTACAACATTAGTCGCACTATCAACATACTTTGCCTAATCTATGTTCCTTCCTAATGGCGAAGTCAACATTCCCATTTTATGTATCTTAACGGAATATAAATTGTTAAAAGAATTTAGCTAAAGGCTTAAGTGTGCGGAAGAGTTGATGGTTGTTTGATAATGTATCTGCCCCTCCCAAGAAATATATATACTGACAAAGAAATATATAAATAATAACTCATTGGGCTTTGACCCATATCGCATTATTTTTGGCCCGTAATAAAAGGCTTTACATTGAGCTTTGGGTTTTTTTTTAAATAAATTTGTAGTTTTGGCAGTATAAGGTTTCTATATAATTAATTATATCAACTCAAAATTTTAAGATATTGATGATATTCTTTTTAATTGATTATATTATTTTCTAATAAACTCTTTAACGTAAGAGCATTTGGGCTTAAAGCGTAGATATTGTATAGATACAAAAAAAAAATTGGTTTTACATTTGCAAGGATCGAACTCGTGCTGGCGACCTTGTGTTCATTGAAACTTTGATACCATGTAAAGAATCAATTCAACCTAAAATTATATATTTATTGGATTTGATGTTTATGCTTTTAAAAGATATAGAGTTGCGTCGTTTTAATTTTAAGGAGAGAAAGACACAAGTAATGAAAATTATGGGTGAGAAAATGAGTGATTTTTTTAATTTAAATTTTAAATAAAAAATATTAATTCGTATCTATCTTTCACTTGAAATGACACAACTCCATGTCCTTTAAAATGATAAATATTTTTTCATGTATATTTTGTTTTGTTTTGTAACACACTAATTGCAATGTGAGTGAGATAGTATAATACCGAAAGTAGCCCTAGACTGGGTGAACAAAGTAAATACGCTTTCTTTTTGTTTACTTTTGTTGAAAGTAGAGATGGCAAAGCGAGCTGCCCGTCCCGCTATAACCCTGCCAAAAAATGGGTTGCCCGCCAACACTGTGCCTCCCAAATTTACACAATGGAGCAGCTATCCTTCTTTCACTTCTGGACCCAAATGAACTACAAGAGCTCGAGCTCCCTTTCCGAGAAGAAATATTCATCTCCTAAACACTAAGTTTCAAATAAAACACCAAATTGAGGATAAACCCTAAATCAATAATCCCCAAATTCAAACGTTCAATCTTCGATTCAATCCCCTTCTCTCTGGATTAAGAAGAACCCTAAACCATACGACGATGTTCCTTTGAAGAAATTGAGAGGGAAGGACAACTTAACGTTCAATTGAGTTTTTTCAAAGGATTATGAGCAACGTGACTTATGGAGCTTCAGACGTCGTTGTTCCACCTCCAACGTGGCAGTGACCATGCCCATTAACGTGACACATCAGCTCTGTCAATGACGCTATGTGTTTGGGATTAACAGAATGACTAATGTGGGACCTATTTGTCTTTGTTGGGGACTGTCCAACTAATTTATTTTTGTTAGGGACTAAAATGGGTACCGAGTTTTTTGTCAGGGACCAATTTGGGTATTTACTCTTTAAAATAAAATTTAAAATGCTGCTTTTTTTTAGCCAGTAGTTGGTTGCTTTTGAAAAAAACAGAAATTAAAAGATAATATGAATTTTTAAAATACAATTTTAACCTCATCTTGTCATACTTATTTTATCTCTCCTTATCTCACGATCATGCTATTTTATCTCTCCTTTATTGTAATTTTATATATAAAAAGTGTTTTTTTTTATTTTAACATCCAAATAATTTTTTTATATAAAAGTGATTTTCAGATCATAAATCCAAACTTAAAATAACTTCATCTTTTAGAAAAAGTTCTTTTACAATAAGCAATGCATAAAAAGTCTTTTTTTTAAAAGTTTATCCAAACGGCCCTTAATAATATATGTAACATTCATTAATCCCTTTGTTCAATTCTGTCTTGAAGGATAATCCTTTTATCACGAAGAAGAATCATATTAGTGTCTAGTGATACATCTAAATGAGTGCTACTAGTTCATTTACCTTATTTGCAACTTTCTTTCATTTGAATACAGGGTGGAGGAGAACCTTGCACTGTCTTACCTAATGGATTTACGCAGCAAGAAGGAACTCAGTAGCCCTTCAGTGTCTTGGTCGAAACCTAACAGAAAGTGTTTACACAGACATCACAATCAATACATGTGATGGAAGCATATATAAGAGCACATAGGGCAGTTCTTGCAATCCGGTCTCCTGTATACACAACATGTTCTTCCATAATCTTAAGGAGAATAATCTCTCTATCATAAATATCTCAGACATGTCAATTGAAGCTTGTGTGGCCTTTCTAAATTATTTTTATGGGACCATCAAAGACGTAGAATTTCTGACTCATAGAGTGGCCCTACCAGCTAACAAGTATGATACATCTGACTTGAAAGAGACATGTCATACAAAAAAAATGTACTAGAGAGGCTCCAAATTGCAACTCCGTATCCGGTTTGGTGCTACTGTTGCACTCAAGATTCAGTGTATCTTATTAATGAAAACATTACATGTCATTCAAAATTCTCTTCTTTCTACCAAATTCTTTCTCTCTCCTCTGATATGTAATATTCTTATTAGTGGGATGCACTGAATCTAGGTACAACAAATGCACTTAAGATTTATTCAAGCTGAAGATTAACTGTATGCAATATCTTGTGAAATTTGGTAAAATACTTGACATTTGGGATGATTTTCATGCCTTATTGCAGAGTGCAGACGGGGAATTGATTTCTGAAGTCTTCAATGAAGTTCTTGATGCCTGGAAAGAATAATGAAGATCTTCCAACTTCAAAGAAGGACAGGAATAGTGTTAAACATACGCACAAATTAGGATGTTTGAATATTTGCTATGCAGGATTTGTTTTGATGGATATAATTCCTTTTTTAGATGGATTTGTTTCTTGATTTCAATATACATATTTGTGAAGTACTCTTTTCTTCCGATAATGCGGTAGGCAAATAAGTGCTCAAAGTCAAGAGGCTTCAGAGGCCCTTCTTTTTTTGCATTTTTTACTTTTCTTTTCTTTCAGACCAAAAGAACAATTAGTCTTCTCTGATTTGTAGCTATTTTAGTTGCACAGAGTGCTTCTATAGTTCCATTGTTTTAGAAATATTTTTGCTCAGCTGCACTATGTTCAATGCACTACCTTGGGCTATTTTGAGTTGGGCTTAATGTTTTTGTGGCCTGTAGTACTTTATTACAGAAATATTTACCTATTCTTGGGTTGGGTTGTCTTTTTCTTCCTTTGTTTCGGCCTTTTTGTGGCCCCTTGTTTTCCTTACACAGAAATCTAAACTACGTACAACCATTAAAAATAATGAGAAAATTTTAAAGTTTGAACAGTTCAATATCATTTCTCTCTAAATTTACGTGAAATCATATGCATCTGAATATACCAATACCTTTTTATCTAATTTTTTAAAAAGTATATATATATTTTATATTTTCTACATTATCAGTAATGACTAAAGACGAATCTACTTTTGACTATAGAGGTGGAAATGTCCCTTTAAAATGATTTCATAGTTAAAATATATAAAATTGCCTCATTCACAGTACAGTGTAACAGAGGCGGACCTGCACTTGTGCCTGTGTGTGCAAGTGCAGACACAAATTTTTGAAAATAAATAAATAAATTATCTTTTAGGTTCTCAACAAAAATTATGGTATAATTTAATCACAAAGAAAAAAACTTGACTTTGTGATCTTCTGAATTTCAAAATAGATCAATTTGGTTGAAATTGTGATACCTTGTTAGTCTCTCAAAATGACTAAAACGAGTCTTTTGAATTTCAAAGGGATCTTGAGTCAATTTTTTTTCTAAAGGATTAAATTGGATCTCGTAATATTAGTTGAGTATCCAAAAATTTTAAAGGGACCACTTATTTACATTGTTTTGTTTTTAATACATTTAAAATATTTTAAATATTTTTTGGGGGCGCAGCCCCGAATCTCAACCCTAAATGTGCGTACATAAATAAAATTTTCTAAATCCACTAGATTACTCTGATAATAGACTTTTATTTCCTACAAATTACAACACAATAACACTTGGGACGAGCTTTATACTTATAACTTAAAGTTTTTGTATCAATCCAAACGGTTATTATTTATCGAGTCATATTTATTATTAATTTTTAATTTTTAATAAAAAATTTCATCAATACAACGGTTACGATTTATCGGGTCATATTTATTATTAATTTTTAATAAAATTTTTTTTATCAATCCAACGGTTATGATTTATCGGATCACATTTATTATTAATTTTAAATAAATTATAACAGTTAAATTGACTGAAATTAACGGGTGCAGCTCAGTTGGTAACTTGGCGCTAAGTTAGTGGGGTTGGATATGTGTTCGATTCCCGCTGAATGCATTCTTGGGGAGGGGGCTGAACCTTTAGCCATCATTGTTCCCCCGCACTCCGGATTAGTCCCATAGCCGGCTCAAAGAGTCGAAGCTCGTAGGGATACCGGAGGGAGCCAACTCGTCTCAAAGAGATAATTAGGGTTGGGTAACTCCAAAAATAAAATAAAAAATATTATAGCCTTCATAATATTAAGAAAAAAACATTTTTACATAGAAAACAATCATAACACACTTAAATGCGCCATTAATTAATTCCATATTATCAAATATATGATATTGGTGCTGCATTAAATTGTGTTTATGCACCAATGCAAGTACCAATTTCAATGACCAAACATTCTGATTCACTCAATGATTATAAGGATGTCAAACAAGTAAAGAAAGAATTTTTGGGGACATGCCGTAACGAAACCATCAAAAGCTTAACCCACTTTTACGCAAAGAGTGCGCATCCCATCCCACGAATTAAATACATGATGAACACGGCTCAGTAGATCTCAATCTCATTACCACGTAATCCATTTCATTTCGGTGTTTGGTCATTTTGTTGGCGCAACCATCCTCAACTGCCAAGAGTCAGCATTTTCAATATGAAATCAGTATATAGAAAATAGAATAAAACCATTATTCCCTTTCTCATTTTCCCCCATTTATATCGAAATTCCTCATCCTCGAGTAGTGCAATCAATATCCATATCCATGTCTAACGAATCTCTTAGGGGACGTTTGGCGGAGGAAAAAAAAAATTATCCGGAATCTCGATTTTTTAAAAGGAGAGGTTGTAGTTACTACTTTTTTTTATTACTACTTGTTACTATCAAATCTAAACCGTTGATTTCTGTCAATCTAACGGTTATAATTTATTATAAATTATAACCATTAAATTGGCAGAAATCAACAGTTTAAATTTGGTAGTAAGAAAAAAAAAGTAGTAACTATAACCTCTTTTTTTTTTTTTAATATGAGTTTTATATTCAGTGTACGATAATATTCAAAAATTTACAATTTAAAAAAATTTAGTTTCCGATAATCTTACAAAATTATGCGTACTCACTTTGGACGAATTCGTTGTGATTCAATCTGACATATGATATTTAATCGCCCAAAAGAAAATAGGGTATATGATAGTTTGATTATGCATTTATGTAAAAAGAAAGAAATTGTAAGTTATTCAAATATAGGCATTTGCCCTTTTGATGTATCATAGCCTCGCGAGATCACTTGGACCTAAAAAAAGTTGAAAGTACAAAATCAGTGCAATCATTATTATTATCATTTTTATTCAAACAAATAAATGCACCCCCAAAGAGAAAACATTATAAATAACTTCTTATCTTTGCTTAACCATGCTTACTGAGTGATTTGATAATTTCTACAATTTCGGTCTCATGAAATGAAATTTCAATTACACAAGGTTAATCCCCGGAAAAAAAAAAAAGAAGAAAAGAAAAGAAAAACACAAAATAAGATGATGGAGAAATTTAAAAAATAAAACAGAATTAGCATTGGAACAAAGACATCTGATTAGAAAATATTCATGAATCCCAAGAAACAGTGGTAATTACAGAGACCAATTCTAACAAATAATTTATTAAAAAAAAGCATTAAAAACAAACAAATCTCCAGAAAAAAATAAACAAGAACGGAATCGAACAAGAGAATACGAAGAGATTCCTAAACTAGAACAATGGCGGCGGTGCGTAACCCAAGAAGGGCCTTCTTCCTCCGGCGTCGCCGCAAGAACCGCAATAACTGACGGTGTCCTTCAGCTTGTGGAACCCATGCTTGAACACTCCGAACCCGAACATCAACCCGATCGCAATCACCACCAGAATCAAGCACGTGCATAACATGCACACCCTGCCCCCACAGCACATCTCTCACCCTTGCTCGTGAACACAGCAAAGCTTCAATCTTTCTCTCCTGGATATTTCAGATCTGGGAAATTGTGGTGCAGATTTTGTTTTGGAGTGATGGAAAATGGTGAAGATAATGCACAATTTAAAAGAGACAGATAGAGTGAGAAATAAATTGAAGAAGAAAGAGAAGTGTAAAAGTAGATAACAGAAGCAGGGGAAACAAAGGTTGGTGTCTTTATTACGGATGGAAAACGTTTTGTTCGCTTATAAGGAAAGCTATCTAATCCATTAAAACAAGATACCCTTTTAAAAAGCGCTTGATGTTTGTTATTGTAAATAAGAAATAAAAATAACTAAGGATAAAGTGGGTGATTTTTTTTTTAAATTTAAATTTTAAATAAATTTTTTTATTTTTTATTTATGCTTTTTTTTTAAATGATATAATTTTATGTCATTTAAATTGATAAATATTTTTTTCTTTCAAAAAAACAAATAACTTTTTGTAAACTTTTTCAATGTTGACATCATAAAACTAATAAATTTTCAGTGATATATTGATATTACGTGATTTTTTATATACTTAAAACATCATTATTTAGCACACATAAAAATGTCATTAAAAATAAATATCTTTTTATAATCATTTATTAAATTTTTACATATTAAAAATATTTAAATTAAGTAAAAATACATATAAAAAAATAGAACTACTTATTAAAAATAAAAGGATTGATTTTTCTCGTATTAAAGGAAAAAAAATTATCACCAACACAAATATAAAAATATGTGAGGTCTATTTTTTATTTTATTTTTCTCCTCTTCTTCTCATGTAAGCTCATATATGTTTCATACTCTTTTATATGTGTACAAAATAAAAAACACTCCTCCATACAAAAAAAAATATTATTCTTCTGTTTTTTCTATAAAAGTGCACGTTTTGTTGTCAACTTTAATGCGCAATGTGGAGGGTGATGCGTTGAAGGAGAGTGGTGAAGTGGTTGAGTCCGTTACAACAAGAAGCTTCGGAATTTGGATATGGAGCCTAAAATTTTGGTGATTGGTCGATAATGAAGTTGACTTATGAGTGGCGACGATACAACCCATGAAAGATATCCGTTACTGAATCTCATTTCTCAAGATTAAACGTCTCTTTCTTTGTTTTCAATTCTAATTTTTAACATGATGAAACAAAAAACTATTCTCTTATGTTTTAAAAAATAAAAAATTCAAGTTGACAAAATAAGAGCTAAAAGACCTATATAAAGTACGTTTCTTTTCTTTTCTTTGAAAAGTTAAGTACGTTTCAGTCCAACATGATTAATACCCATTTTTCAACTTTTATTATAAGACTAAGGCCCATACAATATGGGCCTCTTAAGTAAAAACTCGCATCAAACTTTTAAATTATAGAGTAAATATTTTTGTTGGTTTTCAGTAAATTTCACGATATTTAAGTCACTAGCAAATAAAAAGGCTCATCGTGATCATTCACAAATTCCAAAAAGATATATATTTTTACTAGGGACTAAAGCGGACATAGTAAAATTTGTTAAGGACAAAAAAGTATTTACTCTAAATTATAATATTGAACTTCACACCTGATGACTACTGTTTTAAATAACATGTTTCGATCGGGTACCTAGAAGAGTAAATATGTACTATAGATTGGGTGGCATTAAAGTTCAAATTCAAGCCCAACTCCAAGTTATAAACTGGTCCTTAAAAAAACTATATATACAAATACTTTTATCAATGCATACATATAAAAGGATTTATTTTATAGAGAATACCCTTTTAGTTATTATTGAATATTACATCAACTTTCTAATTATCTAGTTATCCTGTAATTGTCATCCTGCGTGTGTATTAGTACAATAAGTATCTTTTTATTGAAAAAGTTCATTCTTATAACTTTTATGGGATATTACAGATGTCAGTCTTTTTTCATTTCTGTTGATGCGGTAATATCGGTTTTAGCTGCTGGACTGCTTGACTTAGAGCTTGATGTGGAAATCTAGCTGACATTGAACTGGCTGCCACTGAGCCATTGAGCATTGAAACTCAAGAGTGAACGAGATCTCCATCCCACTTCAAATTCCAAGTGTTAAGCGTGGTAACCATTTGACTGAATCTAGCTCTACGGAGGTCAGTGCTGCTTTATTTTGCCTACTCTTATTTTGTCTACCTTGACCTACCATTTTCATTATCGTTCGATTACAATATAATCCAACAGTCTATATTTGCAAAATAAAATAAATTATTTTTCTCTTTCTTTCTCCTCACTTCCTCCCACACCATTTCTCTCTCCTCCCCTTTCTCTCTTCCTCTACGCTATACCTATTTTTTCCCCTTTATCGCTGATATCACGCACAAGTTTAGCTATGAATTTTTTTGTCCAAAATAAACTATTAAAATCTGAATCCAATACACCCTTTAAATTAAAAGTAATCATGGTCCACTTAAAAGTAATCAGTTCTTGCTATTTATATTTCTTTATTCTTGTTTGTTTCTGTATTTTTTAAGTGGACCAGGATTACTTTTAATTTAAGGGGTGTATTGGATTCAGATTTTAATATGTTATTTTGGACAAAAAATTCATAGCTACACCTGCGTGTTCACCTGGGCGGCAGACATCAGCGATAAAGGGGAAAAAATAGGTATAGCGTAGAGGAAGAGAGAAAGGGGAGGAGAGAGAAAGGGTGTGGGAGGAAGTGAGAAGAAAGAAAGGAGAAAAATGATTTATTTTATTTCCCAAATATGGACCGTTTGATTATATTGTAATCGAACGATAATGAAAGATGTAGACAAAGGTAGGCAAAATAAAATTAGTCAAAATAACTTATCCCAACTTTTAATTATAGACAACTTCTTAGAGATAGATACTAAAATATACAATATAGCTATAAACAAAATGCTTAAAAATTAAAAAAAAAAAAAAAACTAAGCAAGTCACTTACATTGGGAAATGAAGAAGCTGAAAGGAAAATTTCATGATCATACAAGTGAAGGGATTGATGAACTTAATTTATTAAAATATTAGGTTAATGCTCATTAATCATGCGATTAACTAATTGATAATGTTTTTCCCGCTTGAGTTTTCCTTGCCGCATTTCAATAATATCCACATACTTAGAGTTAGTTGTGCATGAAACATAAAAATTATTTTTAGCCCTCAATTTTGTAAAATACTTTCTAAGTTGATTCATCGTTATAAAAGGTTTGAACAAAAGGTTTCTCTTAGATTTTATCTGACAAAGAAAAAGAAGATTCATCTTTTGTAGAATTATTATTTTCTACCTAAGGATTAAAGATATCTATTTGTGTAATCTAACTGTCCCACATTTTTTTTGTATCTTTAAATATTATTGATTCATTTTTTGAAAGGAAAAACTATAACTCATTTATGTTTTTAATCTCTAATATTCGAGAGTTGGTATATGTGTGTGCTTTTTTAAATACAAATAGAAACAAAACAAACAACTATGTACAACTTAGTTAATATAAAACCATGCTTAGAAGACTAGGAATACTAGCTCCCACAACATCATCTTGTAAAAGAGTTATATGTTGGTGCGTGGATCACTTAAGAGAAAACTCTAGGATGATTGCACCTGCGCAAGTACATGCGTCTAAATAATAAACGGGAGTATTAAATCCCAATATATCATTTCCTCAGAGAAAATATAGCTACATTGAGTTACTAAACTGCATAAGACCAATCTAGAGGCATAAATGAATGTAAAGAGAATGAAAATGAATCATTCAAAGTTACTTGTTCCTTACTATCACATGATGTTCTCACTATGACAAAAAGTTCAGGTCACTTTCCTTTATTCCTCACGTCATTACGTATTTCAATCCTTCCTTTAGTAGGCGAAACACAATTCATTAGAATACAACATTGTGTGGGAAATGTGTTGTGCAGTAATTTAAATGTTGCAAGAAGGAAAAATTTATATTTCTTTAATTTTTCTCCTTTTTCAAAACTTGAAAAACGTCAACGGAATAAGAACAAAAAATTGTAAAAATAAGGTATGTCAGTAAAGCAAAATAGGAACGGATTCATTAGTTCGCTATCAATCAGTTATAACCTTGGCTCATCACATCATCCAATGGAATTGTTAAGGTTACTTTTCATTGCCAAAACTAATTCCTCAAGCACTTAGGCTATTTTATATATAAAATCTCGCATTCCCTTGCGATTTCATTTTCAATTTGAATTGCGGAGAACCTAGAGAGGAACTTGGGGTTCCTTATTCCTAAGGCAACTCCTACCAATATTCTGCAGTCAGAAATCCATTCCTTCTGGAAGTTTATTTCTCAGTTTATCTTAATTTACATTAAGATATAGGAAGAATATAACAGAACATCATAATTCCATTGAAATCAAAAACAGAGTTACAATTAATAGTGATCAGTAACTAAAACAGTTCATCCATTCCTAAAAGAAATTATCTCATGTCTACAGACATGGCCAAGAAGAAAGAAAATGATCCTCTAACTCAAAATTCTATTATAAATTGTTTGGAATTCAAGAAGTATAAAGAAAAAAATAAAACAGAGAATTATTGGTTTCTTAAAACTACAATGTTGAAACTGAAACAAAAAGATGTAGAAAGGAGACAAAGAAGATGAAGTTGTGTATAGGGGAGGAAGGTCAGAGAAAAAAATGCTTTTTTCTAGACTCTTCTTCCTTTCCTTTTAGATTGATATGAGAAAGTGGGTCTTCAGCTTAATATTTTCATTCTTCCTTCACCATTTGATCAACATGTGTCTCCTTCTTCCTTGATTGTGTGTCTTTTTCTTCCTTTGTGTAATTTTCCTTTTTTCTCTCCTTGCAACAGTTTTGTCCATTTTTAGAATATTCACCGCTTTTTCCATGCCTTATTATCATGATTGCTAGAGTTGTGGGCACTGTTATGAATCTAATTTATGGGCCTACATCTTAATAGCTCATAATGGGCAATCAACTAAGAGATATAAGAAGAGAATCTTGCCTAATAAATATCAATCATGTCATGTCTTCAGTGGACACACCTCACGCCTTCAGTGATACACATATCTGGTAAGCCATCTATAAGTAAGAAATTAAGTCATCTATAATTACACCTATCAGATCTTGCTTGTTATTGTGCACACACGT